TTATTCCTGGGAAGTTTATCTAAAGGTTTATAAGTGTAATCTCTTCACAGAACTAGCTTTTTGTTTATTGATTTTTATCTGTTGTTTTTCTCTTTTAACCTGTGCATGTAATTGTAGGAAAAAATGCTAAAAAATCAATCCAGAAGAAGGAAAAAGAAACACAGATCAAGCAGGACAAACATAAATTGTATAATAAGATGGCAGATTTAGACCCTGATATAGCATTATCACATTAAATGTAAATGAAGAGCACAGAGAATATTTTCAAAAATTGACTAATACTGAGCCACAAAACAAGACATTACAAATTTCAAGTGAATGAAATTGAATTAACTCGTGCTCTCTAAACTGGATTAGTGTTAGAAATAAATAATAAAAGAGTAACTAGATAATTCACCGTATGTTTTGATATTAAGAATACATTTCTGTTCTGTTTCCAGCCATAATGAATATTTACCCTTCTGCCATAAATACCTAGAAAATAATATATATAAATGTACATAAATATATATACACATTGTGTATATAGATACTATATATATATATATATATATATATATATATATAACACAGTTGTTTTCAGACTTAATTAGATTAATAGACACTCTGGGACTGTGATATGAAGAAAAAGAAAAACAAAGTGAGCCCTGAGATTGTACCAGCTCATTGCCCAGAGGCACGTTATAGTTCTCAGGTCAGGGAGAGAATACTGAAAGGAGCCTAACCATCTCTTTGAGTTGAAAAAACAGAAGGAATTTGGGGAAACCATGAAAGCTCAAATTTGTGGGGCAGAGTACTGGAGAGGAAGGAGGTGGAGGGAGAGGGAAAAAGGGAGGAAAGAAAGAAAAGAGATAGTTCCCAGCCATCTGCTCAGGGTCTGCCCTTGAATCTTTAGATTAAAAACTGATCTGTGCATGTGTAAAAGGAAAGCTACCTGAGGCCAAAGAAAAAAATCACCAGGACACAGTGCTAAAAATAGTTCACATTTCCACCAGTGAGAGTGGGAAGACCTTGTCATCTGGTATAGTTCTCAGAAAGGTACTCCTCAGTAATGGGAATACATTAGCCTTAAAGACTTAAAAAAGCATGACAGAGTAAACTTTTATAACATTGTGTTAAAGAATACAACAAAATCCAGCTCCTAACAACATAAACTTTGTAATGTACAGCATCCAATAAAAAGTTATCAGGTATGCAGAGAAGCGGGAAAGTATTATCCATACCAGGAGAAAAATGGATCGACAGACATGAACCTAGAAATGATGAAGATGATGGAATTAGCGGACAATGACATTAAAACCACTATTATTAATATGGTCTGTATGCTTAACAATGTATAGAAAGACAACAAGAATGAGGAACAAGATAGAAGACATCCAGAGAGACCCAGATGCATTCTCCATAAAGGAAAGTGTGTGTTTGTGTATGTGTGTGTGTGTGTGTGTGTGTGTGTGTATAAATATTAAAAGGTGTGTATATATATATATATATATATACACATATATATATAAAATAATAAGAAATACACTGTGTGGGGTTATAGCAGATATAGAGACTACAGGGAAAAAACAGTCAGTGTACTTGAAGACAGACAGAAAACTGTCCAAAATGAAATGAAGAGAGAAAAAACACGATAAAAGTGAACAGAGCATCAGTAACATATGTGATAATAGTCTGGCAGTTCTTTTAGTGGTTATCCTAAAAGTCACAACAAAGATTTTTGACTTAGCAAAATCTAAGACAGATCTTCCTCTGAGAAACCCATCCTAAGTTGTCCTGATAAAACCCACTGTGAGTTGAAAATATGGTAAGTCAAAAAAGCATTTCATATACCTAGCCTACTAAACATCTTAGTGTAGCCTAACCTACCTTCAGTGTGCTCAGAACACTTACATTAGCCTATAATTGGGTACAGTCATCTAACACAAAGCCTATTTTACAATAAATGTATTGAATACTTTATTGAAAGTGAAAAACAGTGGTTGTATGAGTACAGAATGTTTGTAAGTGTACTGGTTGTTTACCCTTGTGATGCCATGGCATGGCTGACTGGGAGCTGCAGCTGGGTAGGTGCTGCAGCCCAGCAGCATGAGACAGCATTGTACAGCACATCACTAGCTGGGGAGAAGATCAAAATTAAAAATCCAAAGTACAGTTTTGACTGAACACTCATCACTTTTGCACCATTGTAAAGTCAAAAAATTGTAAGTTGGGGACCATCTGTATTCTGTATGTGTAAACACACACACGTAGATGCACGAACATTTACATATACATAGATATTTATATACCAGACATCATTTTTGTGGGATTTTTGTTACTCATTGAGATTTACCCATGTCTTTACCACTTTTTAAAAAAGACTTTGTTTTTTAGGTAAGTTTTAGGTTCACTGCAAAATTAGAAGGAAAGTACGGAGATTTTCCCCATATGTGCACAGATGACCCCATTATCAACATCTCCCGCCAGAGTAATACGTTTGCTACAATTCATGAACCTACACTGACACATCATAATCACTCAGAGTCCATAGTTTACACTGGTGTTCACTCTTGGTGGTGTATGTTCTATGGGTTTAGACAAATGTGTAATGACATATAGCCATCATTAAAATATCATACAGAGTATTTTCACTGCCCTAAAAATCCTCTGTGCTCTGCTTATTTTTCCTTGATTCCTCCCCCTTCCCAACACCTGCCAACCATGGCTCTTTTTATGGTCTCCATAGTTTTGTTTTTTCCAGAGTGTCATGTAGTTGGAACCATACAGCATGTACCCTTTTCATATTGGCTTCTTTCACTTAGTGATATGCATTAGTTTCCTGCATGTTTTTTCATGGCTTGATAGCACTGAATAATATTCTATTGCCTGGATGTTCCATAGTTTATCTCTTTACCTACTAAAGGACATCTTGGTTGCATCCAAGTTTGACAATTATGAATAAAACTACTATAAATATTTGCAGGTTTTTGTGTGAATGTAAGTTTTCAGCTCCTTTGGGTAAATATCAGAGGGCACAATTGCTGGATCATATGTTAAGAATATGTTTGGTTTTATAAGAAACCTCCAAACTATCTTCCAAAGAGGCTGTACCATTTTTATTCCCACCACCAAAGAGATCCTGTTGCTCTGCATCCCTGTCAGAATTTGGTGGTGTTAGGGTTCCCGATTTTGACCATCCTATTGGGGGAGTAGTGGTTGTTTTATTGTTTTAATTTGCCTTTCCCTGATAACATATAATGTGGAGCATCTTTTCATATACTTATTTACCATCTGTTGATCTTCTTAAGTGATGTATCTGTTAAGGTTTTTGGCCCATTTTAAAGTTAGGTTGTTTTTCTTATTTTTGACTTTTAAGAAGGTTGGGTTTTTTGTTTGTTTGTTTTGGTATACTTTGGATAACAGTCCTTTCTCAGATATGTGTTCTGCAAATATTTTTTCCCAGTCTGTGTTGTTTTCTCATCCTCCTGACATTGTCTTTTGCAGAGGAGAAGTTTTTAAATTTAATAAAGTTTGACTTGCCAAGTATTCTTTCATGGATTGTGCCTTTGGCTTTGTATCTAAAAAGTCATCACCAGACATAACCAAGGTCATCTAGCTTTTCTCCTGTGTTTTCTACTAGAAGTCTTACAGTTTTGCATTTTACATTTAAGTCTATGACTGATTTTGAGTTAATTTTTGTGAAAGGTATAAGGCCTGCGTCTAGATTCAGTTTTTGACATGTGGATGCCCAGTTGTTCCAGCACCATTTTTTTGGAGAGACAATCTTTGATCCATTGCATTGCCTTTGCTCCTTTGTCAAAGATCAGTTGACTATATTTATGTGAGTTTATTTCTGGGTTGTCTTTTCTGTTCCACTAATCAATTTGTCTTTTCTTTTGCCAATAACCACATTGTCTTGTTACTGTTTACCACTTTTTTTTAAACTCTTCATTCTTTGTTGTATTTATGGGTTATTATCTAGAATAATTTTCCCTATGCCTAAAGAATGTACCTTTTAAAATTCTATGCTTCCTAGACTTCAGATACTTTATCCTGTGCAAGACCCTGGACTTGTACTTCTGTCACTATGAGTTTATTTTTCCATTCTTGGCATCTGTGAATTTCCCTTTATTTTGCCCTTGGCTACATATTTAAATTTTTGTTCTATTTTATTCAGCTTTTTTTGTGTGTCTATTTACGCAGTATGTTTTAATTGTAACAAACACATTTTTGCCTACATTTTGTATTGTCACTCTTAAATTTTAGCCATTTTGGTGGGTGTGAGGTGGTATCTGAAGTGTGGTTTTAATTTGTTATTTCCCCAGTGACTAACAGTGATGAGCCCCCGTTTTTTGTCCTTTAGCTTAATTTTTTGTATCTCTAGTTTTATTCTAATTCACAGTAGATTTTTGTTTGGGGAAGAAGTGTAAATTTTCTTTAGCTCTAAAGTTTTGATTCTTTCATTTTTGCTTTCTTCTCATAGTAGCTTCAAATGGGTGTGATCTGCCACATTCATCTGCCCCATGCTGGCTTTCTCTTCCTGGGGTGATTGTTTTCTGTGTTTAATTACCATGAGAATCTTTAGTGGGCTCAGTAGTCTCCACCAGATCCTTTCTGCAGCTTGGGTTCTGGAGCTGGGTCTGATGTATTTGACTTTCACTACTTAAAAGAAAGTTAAAGTTACTTGGTAGAGAATGAGGCTAGACAGGCTAGAGGAACCACTGCTTCTAGCATTGAATATGAATGTGTATGACTGAAATCAGGGATCCAGGCGAGGAGGCAGGGTAGGTGAAACTCTTATTATTGTTAAACACTTATTTTGGATCCAGATAGCCATCTAGAAATCTTGATAATTGAAAATGGAAGTTGGTTATATAGCCACAAATACCTTAAGGGAAAATATGCTGAGCTGAGGATAACAGAGTCTGCAGGTTTCTGTGTATGTTTTTAAAGAATTTAAAAAAATATGTTTTCCAAGACAAGCCTTAACCTGTTGCCTTTTGTAAATAATTTTTCAGCAAACATTGAGACGAATGTGCTACCTTACCATCAAAGAAATGGCCAACATCTCTGAGGATGTGATAATTGTTACAAGCAGGTATGTGAATAATTAAAACCTAGGATGACATACTTACATATTTAGTAGAATATTTTGTTGTTCTCTTTCTGTTAATTTTATTTTTTGACTGTAAGAAAGCCAATAGAAATTTAAAAGAATATAATGTCTTAAAGCATTCTTTTCTAAAATGTGGTTGTCATCATGTGAAAACCATCTCTGTCTAATAAAACAAAGAAAAAAGTCACAGAGGATAATAATAGATTTGATTATGTTTTAAAATGTACATAAACCTTTATAAACAAAACTAAGAAGTAAATGATACAGTGAAACATTTATAACAAGTATATCAAAAGACTAGCATCTGTAATATATAAAGATCTCTTATACTTCAAAAATATTCTCAGCAATAATTTATAAAATAATATAAAGGATCTAAATTTTTTTTTGTTTTTTGTTTGTTTTTCTAATTTTTTTTTTCCTTTCCTGGGGGGAAGGTAATTAGACTTATTTATTGTTTAGAAGAGGTACTGGGGATTGAACCTAGGACCTCATGCATGCTAAGCATGTGCTTTACCACTTGAGCTATCCCCTCCCCTGTAAATATCTTTAAATAGTCATTCTCACCAGTAACCAAAAAAAGGAAATTAAAAATTCAAGCTTGAGTTTTTTGTTTTTGTGTTTTTAAATTTCAATTTATTTAAACTAAAAAAATCCCCAAACAGCTCACCCATTTCTCCCACCATCCCTCTCCCATCCCCACCCCTGGCAACCACTGATCTGTTCTCTGTATCTATGAGCTTGGTTTATATATATATATATATATTTTTTTTTTTACTTAGACTCCACATATAAGAAAGGTCACATGGTATTTGTCTTATTTATTTCACTTACTTCACTTACATAATGCCCTCAAGGTCCATCCATGTTGTCACAAGTGGCAAAATTTCATTCTTTTTTATGACCGAATAATATTCCACTGTATATATGTACCACAGTTTTCTTTATCCGTTCATCTATTGATGGACACTTAGATTGTTTCCATATCTTGGCTACTGTAAATAATGCTGTGATGAACATGGAGATGCATATATCTTTTTGAATTAATGGGTTTTTTTTAATTCCGCTAAATACCCAGAAATGGAACTGCTGGATAATATAGTAGTTTTATTGTAATTTGTTGAGGAACTTCCATACTGTTTTTCCGTAGTGGCTGTAGCAATTTACATTCCTACCAGCAGTGCACAAGGGTTCCCTTTTCTTCACACCCTTGACAACACTTGCTCTTTCTAGTGTTTTTGATAATAGCCATTCTGACAGGTGTGAGGTGATGTCTCATTGTAGTTTTGATTTGCATTTTCCTGAAGATTAATGATGTAGAGCATCTTTTCATGTGCTTGTTGGACATCTGTATGTTTTCTTTGGAAAAATGTCTATTCAGATCTGCCCATTTTAAATCAGATTTTTTTTCTGTTGAGTTGTATGAGTTCTTTATAGATTTTGGAAAATTATAATATTTTTACCCATCAAATTGGCCAAAAAGGGAAAAAAGGCAGTTAGCACTTGTAAGGGATATTGACATTCTTGTATACAGGAGGTAGAATAATAAATTGTTCAATTTTTTTAGAAAGCAGTTTAGCAGCATTTGTTGAATATGTGAAATGATATATCCCTTTGACCCAGTAATCCCACATCTATGGAATTATCCTCAGAAAACAGAGATGGCACAGAAAAACTTATATACAGTGATGTTCCTTGCAACACTGTTTACACTAGCAAGAAGGACAAACAACTTAAATGTCTACCATTGTTAAAAATTATTTAATTAACCATGTTATAATCATATTATGAAATATTTTAATTTTTGAATATATTTTTGAAACATCTTTAATGATATGGAAAATTCCTCAATAAAGTGCTGAACTGCATTCAAGTGCTGAGTTGGATTCAAGTCTATGTATTTCCTATATAGTCTCACTTTTAAAAATATTATATCTATGTTTATAAAAATATATGGCTGGGAATGCATTGATATATTACCAGCAGATAATCTCTGGATGTTTGGAATTGTGGCTATTTATTTTCTTTAAACTTTTGATAATTTCCAAGTGTATAATCTAGGGTTTTAAGATATATAACAAATGTTATTTTAAAAGTAGTTAATAGTTATTAATTGTAACTCACTTAGGTGAATCTGGTTTTTGTAGAGCAAAACAAATTTTGGAGGAGGATACTTGTGTTAAACCAGCAGTTGTGTTGAATATAGTTTCAATTAATATGGCTTTCAGCTGAAAATAACAGAAAGCCAGATGTAAATAGTAGCAAAATAGGCAGAGTAGTTGGTGTTGATACCCAGTTCAACAGTGTCAGGACTGGTGTCCCTTGAATTCTTTTGGACATCTTCACAATATTGCAAAATAGATGCCTGAATTACTGGGAAGGCACTATTCAAGGTGGGAGGGGTACCAGTTAGGGGGCCAGAAAGCCAGCACCATCTGCCTCTTCTTTCAGGTATGCAATAGCTTTTCCCAAAGCAATTTTTAGATTCCATTTGGCACAACTGTGTTATGACTAACCTTAGGAGACCAGGAAGGTGAGCATTTAGCTTTTATAGCCCAAAGGCAGGCTAGGGAAAAGAGGGTTGAAAATGGGTATTAGATTAGTCAGCTACCAGTGTATGGCGCAAGTAGGAAACAAAAAATGTTCAGTTAGATTGCTAGATTCACTAAAATATTGGAAAAATTAAATATAGGTTAACCAACTATTGATTGAGGGTTTTTTGTTTTTTTGTTTAGCTGTTAATACTTCCCTTGAGTCCTGTTAGGCCACCTTGAATTACAGTTAATTTAAAGTTGCTAATCAGTAGACAGGGAGAGAATCCTGGATTATCCAGATGGGTCCAATATAAGGATAAGGATCCTTAAAATCGGAAGAGGGAGGCAGAAGAAGGTCAATAAATAGATGTAACAGTGGAAGCATGGTCAGAGAGATGCAACGCTGCTGGATTTGGAGCTGGAGGAAAGGGGCTATGAGCCAAAGAATATGAGTGACCTCTAAAAGCTGGGAAAGTCAAGGAAATGGATTCACCTCTGCAGCCTCCAGAAAGGAGTGCAGTCCTGCTGACACCTTGGTTTTAGCGCAGTGAGATCTGTGTTGGACTTCTAACAGAAATGTAAGACAAATAAGTAAATGCATGTAGTCTTAGCCTCTTAAGTTTCTGGCACTTTGTTACAGCATCAATAGAAAAGTAATAGATTTTGTAGTATGTAACTGTATCAGATCAACACTTTGTACATGCTAAACTTACACTGTATTATTTGCCAGTTATATCTCAAAGCTGGAAAAACAAAAAACAAAACACAACTTTGGTACCTGGAAGTGGAGTGTGCTGTAACAAGTACCTAAAAGTGTGGAAGTGGCTTTGTAATTGGGCAATGAGCTGGAGAAGTTTGGGGCAGCATGGTGAAAAAAGCCTACACCGCCTTGAACAAGCTGTCAGTAGACATATGGGTGTTAAAGCCTCTGCTAAACTCAGAAGGAAGTCAGTGAGTCTCTGCTCACTATAGAGAGTACTCAAGTCATTGTGGACAGACTGTTGATAGAAAATATGGACATTAAAGGTGCTGCTGATGCGGGTTTAGAAGAAAATGAAGACAATCTTTGAAAATTGAGGAAAGAGGATCCTTGTTATACTGTGGCAGAAAGTTTTGTGGCATCGTGTCCTGCATTTATGTGAAAAGCAGGACACGTAAGCGATGAACTTAGATATTTAACTGAGATTTCCAAGCAGAGTGTTGAGGTGTGGCCTGGTTCTTTTTGCCACTTACAGTAAAATTTGAGAGTAGAGTAATAAATAGAGGAGAGACTTGTTAACAAGAACCAGAAGTTCTTTATAAATACCGAATCATTATGTTGTACACCTGAAAGTAATAACAATGTTATTTACACCTCAAAAGCACAGCAAAACAATAAACCAGGAGTTCTTGATTTTGGAAATTCTCAGCCTACCAAAATGGCAAAGATGCTAAAATCAAGAGATATGTGTTAGGAGAGTGTGCTCCAGAGAAAAAGTCAGAGTTACTCTATAGCCTTTTGTAAAACCTCAGAAAGATTAAAAGGTCAGAGTATTCACTCACACAAAACACTCTGAAGAGATCAAGGGTGTGACTCACAGATTCCCTCAGCTCTAAGCAGAAGCCAAAAATAGAGGTGGGTTATCTAGGCAAAATCTGTCGAGGAGCCTCTTGTCTAATGGAGTGAGTCTCTGTATGTACTGGTAGTCTTACAAGGCTGAGAATCTTATATCAGCAGAAATTCTGCCCGCTTGGACTGAAAGGGACTGAGAAAGGACAAAGTGAAAGAAGGCTGTCAGAGCCCCAAAATTCTCCAGGCTGGAGACAGGCTGATGAGAATGCTCAGCTTTAAACACATGTTGCCCTTTATAAAGAAGAAAGATGGCTCAGAGGGCAGAGGCGCAGACCTGTAGGGTGGAGCTGAGAACTATAAAGAATTCTGCCTTGGACTTGGGAGCTCTTCCAGCTTGCTTGGCTGGATTTCAAAATTACTTGGGACCAGTAACTTTTTTTCCTTCCACTTTCTCTATTTGAACAGGAATGTCTATACCTGTTACCCTGTGGCAGTCCCACCCTTGTATTTCGGAGCAGAGAACTTGTTTTCTAGTTTTATGTGCCCACAGGTGGAGAGGAATTTTGCCTTAGAATAGGTTTCACCCAGTCTCACCCATACCTAATTTAGATGATTTTGTTGATATGATTGGGACTCTTGAGTTGGGTGAGATTTAAATGAGACTTTGGACTTTGAGTTGACGCTGTTAAATGTTTGGGGGGATCTTGGGGTGGGGGTGAAGATATTTTGCCTATGAGATGGATGTAGCCCTACTGACATGATGATTTTAGCTCAGTGAGATCTAAGTTGGAATTTTAACCCACAGAACTGTAAGATAATATGTTTTTGTTGTTTTAAGCCACTACTTGTGGTCACTTATATGTTAGATAACTATCTTACATGTGTCATCATTTGTGTTAGCTTGATAAGAAGCCATGGATATTGAGAAAACCTGAAGGCAGACACTGCAAAAGAATATATACAAATAGCCAATAAGCACATAGAAATGTTCTTAATATTAATAGTCATCAGGGAAATGCAAATTAAAACCTCAACGAGATACCTTTTCATACCCACCAGAATGGTTAAAATAGCAAAGCCTGACTGAACCAAAATCAACAAGGCTGCTCTAATACCAAGTATATGGAACAGTTGAAACTTGTATCCATTGTAGGTGGCAATGTGGAATGGTACAACCGCCTCAGGAGAAGTTCAGCAATGTCTTACGAAGTTAAACATACACCTATCCTGTGGCCAGTGATTTCACTATTAGGTATTTACTCAAGAAAATGAATAAATTTGACCCGCCACCCAAAAAAAGACTGTACAGAAATGTCACAGTAACTTTGTGATAATGCTAAATTAGAAACAACCCAGCAGTTCATCAACAGGAGAATGGATAGAGGAGCTGTTATATTAATACAGTGAATCACTACTCAGCAATAAAAAGGAACAAATTGCTGATTCAAGCAACAACACAGATACATTCCTAAATCTATATGTTGGAACAAAAGGAAACAGACGCAAAAGAATACATACTGGATGATTCTATTTAGGTAAATTCTAAGACCAGCCAAAACTCAGTGGTGGTGATAGAAACCAGGAGTCTGGTAGGTTGGAGGAAGCTGACTCCAAGTGGGCATTAGGGAACTTTCTGAGCTGATGGAAATGTTCAGTATTTTATTTTGGGTAGACGTTACATGAGTGATCATAATTGCCATCTAACTGAACACCTAAGCTGTGCATTTTAATTATATATAAGTTACAACTTAGTAAACAAAAAGAAAAACATGAAGACATTTAGTTAGTGGCTTAAGGATGGTCAAGTATATTGCAGTCTGATCATACTGTTCTACTGCTGTCTAATGAGACTCACCATGAAAGTCTGCATCTGAAGTTTGCTTAGAATTCTGAAATTGAGTCCTGAGGAATGACCTATCACTCACACTGGAGAGTAGCATGGGGGAGGGATACCAGTAAGTCTTAAGTTACATCCCTAGTCTCAGAAAATCAGATGAGCGGTTCATAGGTCATGATTTAGGAAGAAATAAAGGGGCTGTAGAAACTACTTTCTGGCAGGCAGTTTTAATGTCATTTCATCAAAAGTGAGAATAATGCGAGGATTGGGTGGGAGGGAGGAGGGGAATGACAATACTTTGAGGTTCCTGAGGGAACTAACAAGCTGAGACCATCCACAGACTTGGTAAGAAATATTCAAACCTGAAACAGCTTTTCTGCCTGAATAGTGGTACTGTCCCTAGACATTATGTCTGAAGGGTTATTGCCAGGACCTGTCTTAGCACAAGAAAGGAAATGAGATACTAGTCTAATCTGACTTAGCCACCTCTGTAGTGAAACTTCTCTCTCAGAGATCTCCAGTAACTTCTTAATTGCAAAAGCTAGTCTTTCAGTCCATGTTTTACTTGACTGCTCTTTTAGTTTTAATATGGTTAAACACTCCCTGGGAAGTTCTACCCTCCCTGGCTTTCAGAACCATAGTCCTTCTTCTGTCTGATTACCCCATTTTATTCTTTCACAAAAGTGGCTGTTTTCTTCTGCCTGTCAGAGAGACCTCATGAACTAATCATTTTAGTCGGTTACTTTTAAAGGGTTATTTTTAGTCCGATGGGTTTGGGGGACTTTTGGGGATTTCAGCATGGGGCTGTCTATATCATTGTCTTTATTTTTTATGCCAGTTATCAGGATCTAATATTAGTATATGTTTAGGTAATGTGATTATTATCTTTTTTCCCACTGGAATGTAAGCTCCATGCTGGCAAAGACTTTGTTTTGCTCACTGCTGTGTTCTTAAGATTTAAAATATATTTATATATTTTATAAATAAATATAAATATCTTTATATTTATCCAAAAAGATAATAAATATTTGTTGAATCAATAGCTGCACAAGATAATTAAGATAATTGTGGGGTCAAGTGGAATTAGGTAGGGGTGGACTCCACAGGAGAGAAGACTTTAATCTCATGGTAACTTGATTCTTCTTAGTTTGACTAAGGACATGACTGGAAAGGAAGATGTGTACCGAGGCCCCGCCATCAGGGCTCTCTGCAGAATCACTGATGTAAGTTCTTTGTTTTACTGAGCCATCAAAGGGAATCTGTGTTTATCTCTAAAGTGGCCATGTAAATTTAGTAGGATTCCCTAGTCTGACTTTGGGAATCATCAGTATAAGAGAAACTAGACCACCAGAAAGGCTTTTGTGACTCTAGGCTTTTTTTCTTTTAGGTTTTTTTTTCTTTTGTTTATTAACTTAGTTTCTCTCTATATTTATCTCATCGACTTTTGTCATAGGGCATTGCTTGCAGAAAACAAAAACTCATTCAAATTTAGTTTGAAAAAAGAAAAAGCTTTATTACAAAATACTCATCTCTCAGAATTTGAGGTAAGTCTAACAACCAGATACCAGAACAAGAAATAGGGCAGCTCTGAGGAACTCAGCAGCAAGATTCTCAGATACTTACTATTGTGATCCATCGTTTACCAGGTTCAAGCCCCCTCATTTAAGTATTTAAGGGGGATGATCTGATTAACCATCAGACAACTAATGGCTTGTATCTGTCCACTTGAGTCCAAGTTGGGTGTTGAACCTTGACTTAGTCTGTTGTATTGAGAGGAATGAGGTTATGAAGTATGTGAGGCTGTCTCTTTCTTGGAAGTCTGAGCAGGAAAGGTTAAAATGAAGGGTAGGCTAGGCATTGCCAATCAAATTGAATAATAATAGTTCAGCTGTATTCATGATTGGATATATTTTATGTATATTTTTGCAGTCTTCTCAAGTTTCAAAGATTGAGCAGTATCACATGGTAAATCTGGATCCTAGAAGGGGTAATAGAAATGATTTAGTTATTTTTTACTGCTCGTTATTTTGTTGTAGTTGCTTTTGTTCTTAGCATTAAATTGATAGCATAAGACTTGACCATACCAGGGCTACAATAAGACCTTCTTCACCTAAGTATTGGTCTTGGCATGTTTACACATCTTTTATCTGCCGACACCTTCCTGGTGCTAAGCTTTCTTCCAAATAAGTTAACAGCTTTATTTTCTAAAGATTTCATACTGAGGCTCAGTATAGTAGTATATTCCACGTTTAATTTCTTATGTGTCTAAAATAATAAGAGATTATAGTTGATTTATAGGAACCTCTGGGATCCATATAAAATATATGCCCTATGCATAGTTATCTTCAGGACTTGAAAAGCAGCTTCCATCCCATTTAGGAATTTCTTTTATAATATCCCTGAAAGGTTCAGCCTTTACTTATGTTTCCTCCAAACTGAGATTCTCCACTTCGAGACATTTTGTTTCATTGTAGAACAGTTATTCTTCTTCCTTACATACACTCTTAAATGTTCCTCCTTGAATCTGCCACTTGGTTGTCTTGGTTCTTCCCTGAGATACGATAAGCCTTTTAATACATTCTAGATATTTGTACAGAAACAAATATTTGACTGGTTTTTGTAAATTACTTTGAAGTGATAATTTTGCATGAAAATGTTTTGCTTCATCAGCTTTTTCTTTATGAATGTTATTAGGGAACGATGTTGCAGGCCATTGAAAGATACATGAAGCAGGCCATTGTGGATAAAGTCTCCAGTGTGTCCAGTTCAGCACTGGTATCTTCCTTAGTAAGTGAGCAAGTAGCCGTGTGGTTCTCATGCATGGTATGGTTTCTAGTTGCCAAAACAAAGTGTCGTTGTGGTTCTCTCACAAGTGAAATATTAAAACATATGTATATATTTCTATTACTTTATACAAGAGTGCTTTATTGGACAGAGGACCATTGAGCAATTAAAATGGGCAGTTAAAAACATGAAATTTACGCATGTTTGAAAGGTTTTGGTCATCAGAAAGTTGTATTGTACATACAATACAGATGGAGGTAAGAGTGGGATGGGGATCAGGGAAGAAACTGAGAATCAGTCTCTTTCTTTAAATCTTCCTTGATGACCTGCCCTTCTGCCTCTTGCCTCTTTGTCCTCTGCTTTTGTTGGTGCCCTGTGTCTGCAGTTTTCCTTCAATCCAGAGTCTCCCGTCCTGCTACTGAGTTTCCTCCCGGGAAGTGCTCTTTGTTTTAGTAGTACCTTTTCTTTCTCTTTTTCATCAAAGCAAAATTCATTCATGACAGCCTGTAACGTTGCATTTGATTAAAATTAGTTACTAATGTGTGAATGGATAGATCATCTGAATCACAAAAATTACTGGTTCTGATATAATTGGTCAAGTTTTACAGCAAGCACTCTGCTTTTTTATGGTACTGTGGTTTCTTTCAGGTGAGTTTCCTGAAAGTAAAACCTGTAATGTTAACATTATTTAAGTACTATCCTATTAATTATCCATTCCCTTCCTGCTCTTTCTTTCTCATTGTTTCCCTTTAAAATGTGCCCACAAAACGTGCTCACCTTTGCAAAGAGGTCTTGGAGAAAGTATTTCAGGTTTGTTAGTTGGCTCAGAGACTTGAAATAGACTTATAAAGCTACTAAGCTGTTTCTTTTTTCCGGAAATATTTGTTAGTGATTTTCCAAGAAAACTAACTCAGTGTTTCTAAACTTTTAGTGACCATGCATGATCTGTTCTCAATTTTTTCTGTATTTAGCACATGATGAAGATAAGCTATGATGTGGTTAAGCGCTGGGTCAATGAAGCCCAAGAAGCTGCTTCGAGTGATAATATTATGGTCCAGGTACTGTCATTGAGTCACCTTGCCTTATGTCTCAAGATCATCTTTCTTTAACCCTACATTTTAGGGGCAATTTATTGATTCCCCCGAGGAGTATTAGCTGAATATTATAGTACGACTAATATTAATCAGCTTAATATTAGGCAGCCTATTAGTGCATATTCTCAAGTAAACATCCCACTCGTGATGATTACCGCCGTAGGCCCTGCTAATGTTTAGTAGACACTGTAACAGTGTTTGGGAAAAGTCCTTATGCTCAGTAGTAGTTTGAGATGCTCATTCCAAAGGTCATAATGCGTTTCAGTCCTTTGTTTGAAAATAATTTGTGAAGAAGGATGTTCAATTCTAAGCTTTTCAGGCCTTGATTATAGTAGACATTATAAAAACAGTAAAGAGTAATTTTCACTTTGTGAAGCTTTGAAATTATTTTGTTGGAAAGATCTCTTTTTGATACTCATTGGGCTAGTCTTAATTAAAAGGAACAAAATTAAATCTTAACTGGCAATTTTATGTGAAGCACCCCATTTGTATTTGAGAGGGTACTTATTTCTCCCCTTCCACTGTTTATAACTTCTCATGTTAGCATATTCAGTTATGAGGAAATAGAGTAGTAATTGTTCCCTTGGGAAACATTCTCACCCTCCTAACTCTGATCACTGTGTTTTTACACGAAGTGCCATGATAATTATACTCCTTAAGCCTCCTTTAGGGGATTAATCCTTTAACTACTAACATAACCACAGATGATTTAAAGCCACTAAGAGAGACCTGTAACACTGGTAAAGCCTTGGACCTGAGAACCTTTGTACTAAGGATGGATGGGGCAACGCTGAGCCTGCTAGAGCCATCTTCAGATTGTATGTCACCTCCTTAATACTTACCTAATCTGAATTAACGACTTCTGGGGGTAAATTAGAAACTCTTACTCTTTCAATCTTGCCTGTGTTTGATTCAGTATGAAAAAAATATTCTATTTGTATAGACTTGGGTATCTTTTTATTAAAAATCTAGTTCCATATTCTATTTTCATGTAAGTTTTATCCTTTTCCTACTCAGCTGTCTCTCTCTGTTACATTCTCTTCTTGTTTTTTTAGTACCATGCGTTGGGAGTTTTGTATCACCTTAAAAAGAATGATCGCCTTGCTGTTTCTAAGATGTTGAATAAATTTACTAAATCTGGCCTCAAATCACAGTTTGCTTACTGCATGTTGATCCGAATTGCCAGTCGCTTACTGAAAGAAAATGAAGAGGGGTAAGTGTTTTCACCTAAACCTAAGTAATTTTCCATTTGCTGGTTAACATACTTCAGAGTTTATTTCCTTTATGAGTATTTTTGGGCAATGCTGACTTTACAGATGGATTTAGTGTTTTCCAAATTAAGAAAAAAATCATAGGATTCCATGTAACAACTTTTATTTTTACCTTAATGTATGCTTTGGTAGATATACTTTATAAATTATGATTGCTAGTAATACAATAACAAACTGATATTGAACAAAAATATTTATCATAGGGTATACAATAATTAAATGTGAAAGCTAGAAGTGACATTAAGAATCATCTTGTTTATCCCTTTTATTTTTATAAAAGAATGTTGAAGTACTGCATTTATTTAAATGATTTATTTATTTAAAGTGTGTCAGACCAGTAGAATTACACGTTTGTAAGGTTTTATGTTGTTCATGGCATAGTGTTATATTATCTGATGGTAGACTAATAATATAAGGATGAATACTGTAATCTCTCGAGTAATCATTTAAAAAACTAGGAAATATAATGTAAATGTCAACAGAGAAGATAAAATGGAATATTAAAAAATATTCAGTTGAGCTTCCTGTTTTCAATAATGGTAGAGTAGCTTGGTAATATTAGTCTTCCTGCAAATAATAATTATATCATTAGCACAAAACTGTGCTTCCCCAGAGCAAGAAAACCCATACTATTTGAAAGTACTGGTGAGTGGTGAAAAGTAGGCAGAAACTGGAGGAAAATTAATGCCTGGATGACGGAAACTATACTGTGTGAGATTTGTGTGTCTCTGGCTAGTCTCTGAGGGCACGCCACAATTCTTGGGCGTGGGATCACAGGAACCCATAGTATTTACTGGACAGTGGGGTCAGAACATAGTTTGAAATTAGAAGAGTGATGAAAATTTAGGGTGGAAATCCTGGGAAAGAGGAAGCCACAGTTAGAGCAAGCCTCAAAATCAGTGTTAAGCTCTGCAAAAATTCTTGACTGACCACCAAATGATGCATATACAGAGAAAGACTCCAGAAAACCTGGCAAAAAGTAGTAGCTGTCAGCTGAATGAACTGAATGGAGAATTCAGTTGCAGCTCACTAGGGAGGAGATAAAGTTTGGAATTTGGTCCCAGCCAAGTTACCTGCCTGCTGGGGAAACATTATAAATTCTAGAGTCTTTGCATCATATCATTCTCAGTGTCTGTATGTAGTATAAATTAAATTGCTTGACATGCAAAGAATTTGGAAAATATGGCCAGTAGTAAGAGCAAAAGTAATCGAAAGAAATTGACCCTAATATGGCCCAGATATTGGAATTAGCAGATAAAAATTTAAAGCACCTATTATAAACTTGTTAAAGAGTTTAATGGGAACTAGTTATAATGAATGAATAGAGGAAGTGGAAACTATAAAAAAGAGCTAAAAAGGAATTTTAGAACTTAAAGTAGTATATCAGAATTCAACCAGAGAAGCAGAAACCGTAGGAGATAAAAATATAAAAGCATCTTCAAGATTGTCTCTGTGTTAGTTTGCTAGGATTGCCGTAGAAAATACCACAGACTGAGTGGCTTACACAACAGAAATTTATTTTCTCACAGTTCTGGAGACTAGGAAATCAAAGATCAGAGGGCCAGTAGGGTTGGTGTCTGGTGAGAACTTTCCCTTGGGTTGCAGATGTCTGCCTACTTGGTGTATGCTCACATGATCTTCCTTTGGTGCATGTGCAGGGAGAGAGAGAGAGCGAGCTCTGTTGTTTCTTTAAGGATATTAATCCTATCAGATCAAGACCCCACCCTGTGACCTCATTTAACCTTAATTACTTCCTTAGTGGTCCTGTCTCCAAATTGGGTCATACTGTGGGTTGGGGCTTCAATATGAATTTGGTGGGAGTGGGGGGAAGAATACAAGCATTCAATCCGTAACAGTTACCTCATATATTTTCCTATATTTTTATTATAATGTAATACAAAGTTAACTTTTAAAAGTGGTAATTTCTCAGACCTGTAGAAAGAAAGATGTGATTATTAGAGTAAAAAAACAAAACAAAACACCAAATGTGAGTAGAATGAAGGACAAAGATAAACAAGCAAGCACATTTTATCAGTGAATTTTTTGAGCATCAAGGATAAAGAGAAAATTCTAAATTTGATGTAAAGAAAATTTGACTTATATAGTTTTATTTCAGATTTCTCTCAGCTGCATTGCATGTGAGGCATCATGGAGCAATATCTTCATAATGCAAAGGGAAATTAACTGTCAGTCTAGAATTCTGTACCCAGCCAAACTATCATTCATCAGTGATGGCAAAAGGAAGGTATTTTCAAACATAAAGTTTATGTTTACCAGTCACTTTGTAAGAATTATTCATAGATTTACCCAGCACAAACAAATAGATACTTAGAAGGCAATAGTGGGATTTAAGAAGTAATAGTAAGCAGTGGAATTCTCACTGCTTATGTAGATAATTCTAAAGAGATATTTTAACTTTAAAATTTGATAACAAGTTCAGAAATACCAGGATAGCAACATGATAAATAATGATGTTAGATGGAAATAAAAGCATGTTAAGATTTTTTTGTTGTTGTTTTGGTTTTGAGTTTTTTGTTTGTTTTTGTTTGGGAGGAAGATAATTGTTAATGATTAATATTAAACTTTGTTAGAAAAATATATGGGTTAGTAACTAAGCATATAAATGAAATGTAAAGCTTTAAAAATGTGGAAATAAAAATGGAACAAAGAAAATTTGATTGAAGGTTGGTAAGGAAACAATAATAAAGACAGAATATATAAATAGAAAACAAAATGAATTGGATGGAATTAAGTGCCGATGTGTTAGTTATCGTTTGCTGTGTGAGCAGCTTTAGCAGACATTTATTGTCTCAGTTTCTGTGGTCAGGAATCTGGAAATGGCTTAGGTGTCTGGTTTTGCTTCAGGGTCCCCTCTTGATGTTGCAGTCAAGTTGAGAGCTGCAGTCATCTGGATATGCAAGATTCAGTTTAGTTTCACTTGTGTAGTAGTTGACAGGCCTCGGTTTCTCCCTGGCAATCAGCCAGATGCTTCGTTTCTCACTTTGAAAGCCTCTCTATAGTCTGCCTGAATGAGCTGCTGGGAGAGCCTCAGATGAAAGTGGGAGGGATTTATAACCTAATATCAAAAGTGACACACCATTGCCTCTGATGGATTCTCTTGGTCACACAGACCAACCCTAGTATAGCATGGGAGGGGACTGCACAAGGATGTGGATGTTCAAAAGTGGAGATTTGGGGGGGACATTTTGGAGGCTGGCTAGCAAATGAAATATTTCAGTTGTCATAATAAATATAAATGGGTTTACTTATATTATTAAAAGAATACTTATTAAAAGAGTCTCAGATTGGGTAAACAAAATAACAGACCTACTATTGCTACTATTAAATTTACAAAAGACACTTCTGAACAAAATGATAAGGAAACAAAATAAATAAATATGTCAAGAATATATTGTAGGTATATACTAACACAAAGTGCAGTTTAGTAGTATTAGTATAAGCCAGAATGGGAATCAGGGTTTAGAGCATTAAAAATGACTTAAGTGGATTCTTGTATTCTGACAAAAGTAATGGTCTGAAAAACGTGCAACAGGAATGATCTTGCATATACTTAATAATACCATTTCAAAGTATGTAAAGCAAAATCTTAAATATAAGAAATTAAGTTCTTGTGCTGACTTTAAGCAAACTTCTCTTAGATTTGTCAATCAAGAATAAAAACCCATAGACTGTAGATGATCTGTACATCACTGATAATAAAACTAACCTCAGATTTATAACCCTGTGTCTAAGAGAGAATATACAATATTCTTTAAAATTTTTAAATTGAGGAACATAATGTACATACAGAAAAATACGTGCAAGTTACGCAGTTATAGTTGTATGTACGTTCTGTCCAGTTGCTGTGAAACACCCTTATAATGACTGTATACATTAGGTATAGTTTATTTCTAGTATTTAAAAAATGCTTTATGTATCCTTCTTGGTCATAATTACTCCCAGTAGAAACCACTATTGTGACTTTTATGGTAGTCATCTCTTTGCTTGTATTTAGATTTTTTACCCCTCCGTGCATGCATCCCTAAACAGTAAGGTTTAGTTTTGCTTTGTTTTGAACATTCTCTCCATTGAATCACGCTGTATTTTGGGTCTTATTTTTTTCACTCAGTATTTTCGTGTAAGATTCATCCTTGTTTTTGGTGTAGCTCTAGTTTATTTTAATTGTATTTTGTATTTCCTTGATTGAATACTTCCCAGTTTATTTATATTCATTCTTCTATTAACAGGCATTTGGACTGTTTTGAGCACTTGTTAATAATGAAATGGCTATAAACAGCATCCCTGTACCTGTACCACACAGAGTTATCTCTTTGTACGTAACATGCACTTCTATAGAGTCTATATCTAGGAACAGAATTGCTGGATTGTTGGGTATACATCTCTTTACTAAGGAATGTTAGGCTTTCTGTTTTCAAAGTGACTGTACCAGTGTGCATTCCAGCCAGAAGTGTGGATGATACTGATTTTCTGAGGCTTGATATTTTCAAACTTTTACATTTTTACTAACCTAAGGAATATGTTATATATGTTTTATTGAGATACAACTCACGTATCATAAAATTCACCTTTTTAAAGTGTGTAATTCAGTGGTCTTTAGTATATTCACAAAGTTGTATAACAACCACCACTAACTCCAGAACATTTTCATCACCCTAAAGAGAATCCCCCAACCCATTAAAAGTCACTCCCTATTCAACCCTCTCCTCAACCCCTAGAGAACATTAATCTGCTTCCTGTCTCTATGGATTTGCCTGTTCTGGACATTTCATATAAATGGAATCGTACAATATGTGGTCTTTTGTTTTTGGTTTCTTTCACTTACAGTAGTGCTTTCAAGGTTCACCTGTGTTATAGAAGTATCTGTACTTCATTCTTTAATGGCTGAGTAATATTCCACTGGGTGGCTATAGCATATTTTATT